TATATATGAATATAATAAATAAATAAATACTTTATTATAAATGCAATTTCGAGCTACATCTACAATTTAAAATGGCGCGATTTTAAATCACATGCGGTTTCACGATTAAAAATCCAGTTACATATCGCATTGCGATTTAAGAAAAAAATCACGGTGCTTTAGCGATATATCGCAACATCTCTACTCGTAAATTCTACGCTACCGCACGTACGCTTACGACGTACGTGCATACACGCCGGCATGGAGGAAGGAAAGCAAGAAAATCATAAGCTATTAAATATCGCGGATATTAGACGTGGCGAATTCACAACGCTAATAACTTCCAGATTGTGTACGCGATATTGCAAGCAACCGACGCCGCGGTGGAGCCGCGAGTGTGCGTAATTACGCGGTGCGCACCGAACGATTTTTTTCCGTCCCTTCGGCAAGATTTCTTCGTGTAGATCGGCAAAAAAAATCGGAATAAAGAGCAGTGACGTCGAATGAGAAGAGAAACGGATGAGACAAACGACCTCTGCAGCCTCCGCTTCCAATTTCTTCACGTTCGACGTCGTCCGTCGTTGAGGGCGCCTGGAGGAAGGGCGCGTCGACACCGAGAACGGCGGCGAATAACCGCGTGGATATCGCGGCAGACCGGCTGGAATTCTAGAATGTGAAAAGAAGCAGCGCTCGCGCAGGCGGGACAATGGGAGGGAAAGCAATTCTCCGTAGAGATAGAAGAAGTCGACGAGAGGCGGGATGGCGGTACGGGTCAGGGGAAGAAGGTGGAGGAGAGGATGTTCGGTTCCTGAGAATGTCAGGTCGATTCCTCCCATTGCCGCTCTTCTCATTTTTGTGCCCGCTCGGGAGGATCAAACCTGCCGTGACTGCCGTGAGTTGTCTGAAAACGAGAACGCGCGCAGGGCTTCCACTCGACGAATTTAATCGAGTCAAATAAAACGCCGACTTTTAAGAGGGAACGGAAGACGCGTTCCATTCCGCTTATCCTTCGTTTCCGTACGCTCGCAAGCGAGCTCGTCAAAGCCCAAAGCCCGTGCGAAAGACGCATCTCCATGTATTATTCGTATAAGGGACAGACAGAACTTCGAAGGAAGAACCGAAAGGTCTCGGCAGGCTGCTCTTCGCGTCTGATTCTCGTCCCTTTTTTTTTTCCTCAACTTATCTGGACTTTGCGGCAGAAGTTGTCTGAGGTTTCAGTGTCCGAGGATGGGCGAATCCGTATTATTGATTTGGGAAAAACATTTAATCTGCCGATGTCCGTCGTATCTCACAGAGGCGTGCTATTTATTATTCATAAAACAAATTCGTGATTTTTTTATTTGTCTAATATAATACAAAGAAAAAACTGAGAATCTTATAAAAATTATAATATAAATGTAATATAAATAATAATAAAATAATATTATATAAATAATAATGTGAAATTAATATAGTATAAATAACAATAAATAACAATAATAATATTAAAAACAATAAACTATGGTGACTTCGATTGAATGTTACTCCGATTGCACGCAGAATAATTGCCGATAAGTCTTGGCAAGCTTTCTTAATGAAGAAAACCAAAGTCAAGCCTCTGATACGTTTAACTATGCGGCAGGGAAGTAATGTTGGTTAAGCGAAGCCGAGAAGGGCGCATCATAACTCACAGGGCAACAGTTACCGAAGACCGTGTGGACGATAAGGCTTCGTTCATTAATTTGATTCATTAGTCCATGCTATGAAATTGATCGGCCGCGCCGGCACCCTCGACAGATAAAATGAAACGTAATTACGCGCGCCTGGAGCCTCGTTAAAAAATGTGCCAATAGTTGAAAGAAAAACGCATGTCGTTAGCGCGCGGAGGAATTGCATTTGGATGGAATGTCGCAAATTGCGCACAACTGGAACGGCTAGGAGTCTATAAGCTCCACGCGATAATTTACTTGTTCTCACGAACGTAACGATTCTCACTTCTACAAAAGCGCGCGAGTAATTTATTACTACACGGCGGTTAAATCGTCGGCTGTGTCGCAACAACAGCTTTTGATCTATGTCTCAATTAACGGGCACCGACTTATAAAGTAAAATTCTAATTGCAAATCGTGCACCTCTGATTTCGTGCATTTATCTAAAATGCAAAATTATATGATCCACGTTTCTTAAAAATTGCTTAGTTCAATAAAACGGTATGATAATTTTAAATATTTGTTTTTCACGATATCGCTCCTGTGATTCAAGTGATTATACAATTTCAAAAAACATACTTTTTAAATTATCGCCATAAATGAGATAGATAAACATTTACTATCAATCGTTAAAAATAAACTAACTTCACAAAAAATCGTCATTCAAAAAAAGAATAAATTTTTTAAAATTATGAAGATAACAAAAATGACATTTGATCATGTTAAGAACATATTCTTTTCGCCAATATATTATTTGATTAAGTAATAATTTTCTGTCAAATTGAAAAACAGTTTTTCTCCTTTTCAGAAAATTAATTTTTGAAGTTGTTACTTTTAAAATAAAGGAACAATATGTTAAGATATAATATCTACCTCTTTGATCGATCTCTTCAATTATAAGACTGCGTAATAAATTTAAATGTTTCTCTCTGCCCTGAAAATTAAATAACTTTAAATAATAAGTTAAAATCTATCTCATTAGAAATATCTCGTTTTGCAATCGGCACAAATGTATGTTAGCCATCCGTGAAACGACTGCACTCTCCGAGTTTTCCGAGGCGGCATTATTAACACCTCAGTCGGTTCGATCTTTTTGCCTCTATCTACAAGGTGAGCTCTTGTCGTCGGTACTTTTTCTCTTCTTGCGTCACGTTTCTCTCTCGCTCTCAATAGCAGCCGATCTGCAGACTGCAGACTCGGCGGCGCATCGAGAGGCGCTTCATCAACGAGCGTTGCACGTGAACACGATTACTTCGAAAATGAATCCTCCACGCGAACAGCGTAATAACTTTCCTCAAGTTGATGTGGTGTGTATATGTAACATCGCTGCACGAATGTATTGCAAACAATTATCTTTTTGCCATTGTGTCTGGCATACGCTATCCTTTATAGATCGTAAATCTAATGCAAGACGCATACATTTTGAATAAATTAATTGTACCAGTAATTATGAAAGTGGTCTAAATAAAATAATAAAATTACCCCGTATTATGTATTAATTACAACGAAATTATACAAAAAGTACAAAGTATAATGATAAATTCATTATGTTTCGATCTTTTATTTAAATCACTTTTG